AGTCTTCCTTCAAATCATCCTGATTTGGCTACTTCATACAACAACATTGGTAATGCGTATAACAAGGTGCGAGAGTACTCAAAAGCACTATCATTTTACGAAAAATCACTTGAAATTCAACAAAAAAGTCTTCCTTCAAATCATACATCGTTGGCTAGTTTATACAACAACATCGGTAGTGTGTATGACAACATGGGAGAGTACTTGAAAGCACTTTTATCTCACCAACAAGCACTTGAAATTCGACAAAAAACTCTTCCTTCAAACCATCCTTTATTGGCTACTTCATACAGCAACATCGGTTGTGTGTATTGTAAGATCGGAGAGTACTCGAAAGGGCTTTCATATTTTGAACGTGCGCTGGACATATTTCAACGTGCATTACCTCTAAATCATCCTCATATAAAAAGTGTGAAACAAAGTATTGAAAATGTAAAACACCTGATAAAGAATAGTTATTAAATAAATAAAAGAATATTTTGTCCAATTATTTTTATTTAACCCTATTTTCTAGTGTCTCACGTGTGCGTAAAGAGAACAACTTTGTAAATACTAAAAACGTAACGGACATAACCGACTGATACGGTAATACACATATATACACATCTGTATAAATGGCCATTTCACACATATTTACATTTTTAAATCTTGACGAGAATATTTCCTATCATTAAAAAAGTAGAAACAAATTCATATTATCTCAAATAACAATCGTGGAATAAAACAATCCAAAAACGAAAGAAGTTGGAAACAATAAAAAAAGAATAGTTTAAATGAAATTGAATGGTTTTGTTATATTGTTGAAAGAGACATAGTTTAATGAAGAACAAGTTAAAAAGGTGTGTTTAAATGTCTTTTATTGGTATGGTATAAATATTCCTTTTAATGAAGGTAAGTTTTATCCTTTATTTTCAGACTGATTTTAAAAGGTGTGGATGTGGATTGATCATTTATTTACCCACATCTATACCAACAGATTGAAGAAATTTAAAACTTTATGACGGAGCATTTTTGTTTCATCAAGCAAGCCTTCTTTGAATGGAGGGCTTGTCAAAGTTTGTGTCGATTTACTTATATCATTTAATCCATCTGAAGAAATTCTCATAAAACAGAAAGAACAACTCTTTGTCATGCAACGGCCTTTATTTCTGCTCGCTCACTCTGTGGTAGAAACCGTTAAAATAAAACAACTATTAATCTAATAAAGTCATTCGTTTTAGTCGTGCTTAGCGTGCAGCGGCATTTCCCTTGTATATATTATGAGCTAGACAATTTTGTATCAAAAGTTTAATTATTATATCTCCAACGGTTATCTTCGAGAATACAAAGAATATTTATAGTCTTGTTGGTAAATGAACTTTTTTCTCTTCATATAAATAGAAACGCTTTTCTTTTTATCTTTTTTATTTCTATTTGTGACATTACAAAAACAACATTTTTATCGCATAGATAGTGTTAATGACGAATTAGAGTTGTAAGCGAGAAAATTTTAAAAATTTCGAACTGCAACCGCTGACAGCTATCTAAGTAAAAATCAAATTATCGTTCCTTCATGTTGATAATGATTCTCTTCTGATCTTAATTTGATTTCTAAATTTCGTGCTGTACATACAATATGAAAGAATGTAACATTTGTTGTCTATACTTTTTTTGAACAGATTATGACTGATATATAGAAATAAAGATGTCTTTTAATTTGGAAAAAAAATGTTTTTTATAACTTTTCCAACCGCCGCCGATCGACTCATCGACTTACACCTCCAATGACGAACATAATATATTAATACGCAATATGATTCATCTTTTTCTTTGCGTTATAATTAAGACTGTTACTTTATCTTTATTTTACTTTATAATAAAGAATAAAGATAAAATAACACCCCTAGTTATAATATGTTAATAAGCTTTCTTAGTTCATCTTTGTTGCAATTGGTTTGTCAGAACATTACTCCAATGTCTAATAAACAAGGGCATAGAATGTCATAGAATGTTTAATTAAAATCCCAGTATAAAATATTTTACGAAAGAATTTTGAAATTATTTGTTTTTAACATAATATCTCTTATAATGAAGGTTTTTTTAGATACATCGATTAAAATGTCTTTGGAAATAGTTGACAATTCATTGTTAATATCAATACAAACAAATTTATATAAATTCGGTGGACCAGTTTTGATGATTCTGGGTACTGTTAGTTGTGTACTTAGTTTGATTGTTTTTAGAAAAAAGAATCTACGGAAAAATCCATGTGCAATATATCTGGTGGCATATCATATTAGTAACCTTCTACAAATCTATACAACTACGCTATCAGGAATACTATCAAATGGTTATAATATTGATCTTACTTTATATAGTCTGAGTTTCTGTCATTTTCATTTCTATACACAGTTTGTGTTTACTATTTTAAGTCCATCTTACTTAATATTAGCATCAATTGATCGAATATTAATCACTTCACCAAATGCTCTAACAAGACAACGAAGTACTTTACGTCTAACTTATATATGCATCATAGGTGTAACACTATTTTGGTTATTATTTCATATTCATACATTATTTTGGACCTATAATATCGAACCAGCACCAAATGTTATCATTTGCTCTTTCGAACCTGGAGTGTATGTAGCATTCATAAACTATTATACAATTTTAATTCAAGACATTCTTATTCCTTTATTGATGATTCTTTTTGGAGTATGGACTGTGAGAAATCTTCGAAAAACACGTCAGATCATTTTTGCTACTATCAGCAAAGCTATTGTTGCTGCGCGTCCTACTCATTCAAAGGATAGCCAATTTATTCGAATTTTGATTATTGATATTAGTATATATATTATATTCTCTGCAATGATGCCACCTGCTCTTATATACATACAGATACTTCAAAATCGATTACCTAGTTTCGGTGAATTCCAACGCTCCACCTTGTTTCTGAATTTTGCTCTGTTTAGTTCATATATCCCATACTGTGTTGGCTTCTATACCAATTTTCTCGTGTCGAGGAAATTTCGATCTGAAATCAAAAATATTATCAGGCGTTAATATATGGTTCATAATTATTAACATAAACTATTCATAATACCAGACTAACTGTTGAATGTTATAACACTGTTGTGGACACTTATATTTATTTAACAATAAATATTAACATAGGATAATCAAAAAGTTTTGAGAGTGTGGGTGTGGGGGTCATTAATATATTTCACTAACATTCATATTCTCAATTTATCTGTAACGCAGAGTACTTCTGCTGGTTTATATCATAATTTCAATATTGAATAAATTGTTAATTCATCGAACAATGAGTTTAATATTAATTATTATTCAATCTTTTATCTAATGATATGTGTACTAGATTTAACATAAGAAAAACGTATCATTAAATTTATATCCTTGTGTAATTTCAATATACGATTCCAGCACGAAAGAAAATGCTGCGAGACTTTTAACGTATTTTATTTAAAAAGAAAATATGTAGTTTTTTCAGTTAGAGACGATATTATCTCTTATCTGTGAAGAAAGTTGGAAGAGAGAAATTGTTTTTTTTTCGTTCTTTGTCGTCACCTGGCTCTATAACGTATGTGAAAGAATACGGAGAACAAAGTTCTATTATGATTAATCTACATAAACATATAAAGATAGATAACGGTGTCGTACTACGCTACGCAAAGAGATTCCATTCTCATATAAATAATATAGTTTATTCATTTCTTTCACTTTTATCTATTCAATCGAAAAACCCACATAATACACGAAATGGCCACAGTACCGAATAATATCGAACGACGAAGACGTATCGCACAAGATCATTTACTCGTTTGGTTAGATGAGTCTATGAACGAAACAGACAAAAATTACAAACATATTTTAACACAAGCACACACCGTTGCCGACAATGTCAACGTCTTTACACAGAGAGATGAATGCATTGACTTTCTTTCTGACTGTGAAGACATCAAGTCTTTTCTCGTTATCGAGAACACTATCGCTCAACAAACTATACCCCTCATCAGTGATATTCCTCAGCTGGATAGTGTTTATATCTTCACTGACATTAAAATCCAACATGAAGAATGGAATAAAAAATGGCCAAAAATCAAAAGCGTTTATAGCAACATCGAGGACTTACCCAAAGCATTACAATTGGATATCAAGCGACACAATCAAGACTCGATAGCCATGAGCTTTATTACAGTAAATGAAATGGTTTCGACGAATAATTTGAATCAGTTGGAACCAACTTTTATGTATACCCAGATATTCAAGGATATTATTCTTGGTATGGAACATGGTAATCAAGCCATCAAACACTTTACTGCTTATTGTCGAAATAATAACAGCGTGTCCCAAAAAAATATTGACCGTTTTGAAAAAGAATATCATGCTCAGTCCGCTATTTGGTGGTATACGTTCCCATTCGATATCTATTCCATGCTCAATTATGGTCTTCGAATAATGGACGCTGATATATTTATTACTATGGGTTTTTTTCTACGTGATCTACATGAACAAATTCAACAGCTATACGAGCAGCAATTTAGCGCCTATGGTGGAAAGTCTTTTGTAGTTTATCGAGGACAAGGTCTTATGAAATCAGACTTCGAAAAACTTCAAAAAACTAAAGGTGGACTTATATCATTTAACAATTTCTTGTCCACCAGCAAAGATAAAGAAGTGTCTCTCGAATTTGCTCAATGTGCCTCAACAAAACCAAATACGGTGGGCATTCTCTTTATAATGTTTATTGATCCTCGTATCAAATCAACACCATTTGCCACTATCAAAGAGATGAGTCATTTTAGAGGAGAAGATGAAATTCTCTTTTCCATGCACACCGTCTTTCGAGTGAACGAAATTAAACAAATGGACAATAACAATCAACTTTATCAAGTTGAACTACAATTAACGTCGGATGATGACCAACAATTACGATTACTTACAGACCGGATACGAGAAGACGCTGATGGTGATAATGGATGGGAGAGATTGGGTGACTTATTACTTCAAATTGGTCAATTTAATAAAGCTGAAAAACTTTATAACGTATTACTCGAGCAGACATCCGATGCGGGTGAAAAAGCAAATTATTATGTTTGTTTAGGATATACTAGAAATCAGCAAGGAGATTATGAAAAGGCTATTTGGTATTTCGAACAAGCACTTAAAATTCAAGAACAAGATCTTCCTTCAAATGATCCTTTATTGGCTACTTCATACAACAATATCGGTAATGTGTATGACAAAACGGGAGAGTATTCAAAAGCACTTTCATTTTACGAAAAAGCACTTGAAATTCGCGAAAACATTCTTCCTTCAAATCATTCGTCATTGGCTACTTCATACAACAACATCGGTTTAGTGTATAAAAACATGGGAGAACACCAGAAAGCACTTTCATCTCATGAGAAAGCATTTGAAATCTATCAAAAGTGTCTTCCTTCAAATCATCCTTCATTGGCTACTTCATATAACAACATCGGTATGGTGCATGAAAACATAGGAGAGTACTCGAAAGCACTTTCATCTCTCGAAAAGGCACTTGAAATCTATGAAAAAACTCTTCCTTCAAATCATTCTCATTTAGCGGAGTCATACAACAACATCGGTACTGTGTATTACCAGATGGGAGAGTATTCAAAAGCACTTTCATTTTACGAAAAAGCCCTTGGAATTTGTCAAAAAAGTCTTCCTTCAAATCATCCTCTGGTGGCTACGTCATTCAGTAACGTTGGTAGTGTGTATGACAACATGGGAGAAGACTCGAGAGCACTTTCATCTTACGAAAAAGCACTCGAAATTCGAGACAAATCTCTTTCTTCAAACCATCCTGATTTGGCTAATTCATACAACAATATCGGTAATGTGTATAAAAACATGGGAGAGTATTCAAAAGCACTTTCCTTTCACAAAAAAGCACTTGAAATTGAACAAAAAACACTTCCTTCAAATCATCCTTCGTTGGCTACTTCATATAACAACATCGGTACTGTGTATGACAACATGGGAGAATACTCGAAAGCACTTTTATTTCACGAAAAAGCACTTGAAATTGACCAAAAAGCGCTTCCTTCAAATCATCCTGATTTGGCTACTCCATACAATAACATCGGTTTGGTGTATAGAAATATGAAAGACTATTTAAAAGCACTGTCTTATTTAGAACGTGCTTTGGATATATTCCAACATACATTACCTCCAACTCATCCTAATATAAAAAGTGTGAAAAAGAATATTGAAACCGTAAAAGAAGATATGACAATGAATGTTTGAGAAATAAATAAAAGAATCTTTTGTTCACTTATTTTTAAATTAATTCTATTTTCTAGTGTCCTACGCGCGCGTACAGAAAGCAACTCTGTATATAACAAACTCGTATGGAGAGATCCGACTAATAAGGTAATACACATAGATACGTATGTGTATAAATAACTTTCCTAGATATAGTTACGTTTCTAAATCTTTACGAGAATATTCCCTGTCATTAAAAAAGAAGAAACAAATATCTATGATCTTAAAAAATAATCATGAAATAAATCAATAAAGAAAAGAATAACTTATGTGAAGTTGCATTGAATTGTTTTGTTATATTGTTGAACGGGACTTAGTTTGATGAAGAAAAAGTAAAAAAACTGCGTTTAGATGTTCTTGATTGTTATTGTATAAATATTTCCTTGAATAGAGATAAGTTTTATTCTTCATGTTTAGACTGATTTTAAACTTTTCGCATAGTTGGTATTTGGTTACACTATACATTCAACTTTTATTACCAGTTACAAATCGGATCAATGCTATATTTAAATAAATTTATTTAAATAATGCTAATTTTAATTTATGTGATATGTTAGATGCATTCACATTTTGTTGGTCAGAAATTACTCAAGCAAATTTTTCTTGACTAAAATTATGTTTTATATTTATAAATTCGAAGTGCTTCATAGTCAAATAGTATTTTATTTCAAGTAGACCGTTTCTAACTTGGCTAGTCCTTATACGAAAAAAAGTAAACTTCACTGGAATTTTATGTATTGGAATTGTAAACTTTACTTTACGATAATTAGATTTATTGTATAAGTGATTTCAACAGAACAAGGAAAAGAAAAATATAATAAAGAGTGGGTGTGGGTGTAGTGCTGATACCGTGTACCACATAACCACATCCACTTATCATGTCGTGAAATTTTGAATCGATACACAATTTGTAAACATTTATAATACTCTCAATGAAGTTTTTTCTATCTCGATCCAGCAGCTGCAATACATCTGGTTCACTTATTTGCATGGATGACTCACAAACTCCATCACTGAAGTCAGTACTAATTTATCGAATGTGAAACTTTTGAACACAGATTCTGTACGTATTTGATTGAAGAGAATAAATTTTTTTCAGATAAATACTTTTCTTAACAACAAAAAATAAAACGAACGGTTACATGAACATAATACATTCATAGACAAAACAAAGCGATAAATAAAATGTTTTAAAATAAAAACAAATAGAATAATATACATAAAAAAAAAGAATGTCATTATTTTTTGTTTGTTTTCAGATCATTCATTTGAAGACTATATATATTAATCTTCATGACTAGAGAAAATGTATTTTGAGAACAAAAGAATAAAGATATTTAACAACTTCGATCAGCTTCATCGCCACCTGTTTTTCCAATCGCATCAGGATTTTGTATTGGATCAAGTTCAGCAAATAGATTTAACCAATTTGATTTATCGGAAGTTTTTGTTGTTGCTGTAGGTTTTGGTTTAGGATTTGATGATGGTGATGGTTGAACTGTTGGTTTATTATTTTTATTCATTGAAGTTAATAATTCACTAAGAAGTGATGATGGAAGAAAACTATTATTGGATGCAGAAGATTCTGTAGGAATATTAGGTATCTGTTGTTGATTTGAAGTATTACCAAATGCTGCTGTCCAATGAGCATCAAAACTATTATTATCATTTGATCCAAGAAGATCTGTAGTTGTATTTCCTGCTGTTGTTGTTGTTGATGATGATGAAAGTAGATCAGAAAATAGTTTGTCATGTTCAGCAATGGTATCTGCTAATTCAACAAGATTATCATCACTAGTTGATGTCTTTTTCATATTTCCAGATGTTGTTGGTGTACGATCAATTGTTGTTAATTTTTCTAATTCAAGAAGTTGATCATCAAGTTGATCATCAGATATATCAATTAATGCATTAACAGGTTCCGTTAGATCCTGTATTTCTTTTTGATTATTTTTTGTTTCATTAACATTAATAAGTGCATCATCTTTCGTTTTAGTTTTTTCAATCGATGATTTCGAATTTAATTCAGCTAATAATCGACTTGGTTCAGCAAGATCTTTAATAACAGTAAATTCATAATATTGATAACCTTTAAATGATTCAGCAACAGCTGACATTGTTTTTGAAGTTTTCTCCCAAAAGACAAGTAAACTTTTTTGATAAGTAGCTAACGCATGTGAATACATATTACTAAAAATAAATAGATTTATTTTTTTTCTAAAACAAAAATTCTTTTATTACCATCGACTAGCTGTTAATAAATCAATTTTTTGTAGAACATCAGATTTTAATCGATCATATTCAGTTTTAGTTGTTTTTACTTGACTTTGTACTCGACGAAATTTTTCTAATTGTTTTTCTGGATCAAGTTGTACCGATGCATCTTTTAACCATAATATACTTCCACGATATTCTGTTCTTGCTGTTTCCATTCGTTTAACTGTTGACATTGTATCTGTTACTGCACGATGACGAAATGTTTCAATTTCATTATGTAAACGAAGTAATGGTTGACGTAATGCTAAACGTTGATGTGCTGTATAAGCAAGAACTTTCGATACACTTGCCATCATTTTTCCAGCTCGAGTTTTATCCATTTGAGCATAATCTTTTAAAAAACGTGCCATGTCTGTTTCTTCATGCGAAAGAAAGAGAACATTTGTTTGATAACTTTCCATAACCTATATAAATAAAATAACACAATCGATTTAATGAATTAAAAAGAAATCTAAATTTACACGAAGTAAATCATGGCATGATTGTCTAACAGCATATAATAATTCAAGTTTAGCATCGACATCTGCATCTGATGCAATAACAAATTCATCTTCTTCTCTACCAAGTTTTTTCATAACAAGCTGTTTTGTTGTCCAATATTTTGAACGTAATTTACCCATACTTGTATTATCTTGATGTTCAGCATGTTTATCATAAAAATTTTTCGAACTCATTCTTCCTATTAATAAAAAAAAAGTCAAATAATTGATGATGATTTATCAACATCAACATAATATGTCGAGTTTTTTCTTTTAACCAATGAATTTCTTTCCTTGATCCTCTATGAAATGAAGAGATCATTGGTGAAAAAAATGAAAACTTCTTATAACACGTCATCCATATAGATATTTTTAAAACCGACAACACAAAGATGAATCGTGTCATACAAACGATAGCTCTCATCTTTCTAGGTTGTTGTTCAAATGTTATATTTCTGGAATTTATTGTTAGGTATATATTTAAGTACTTTTTTTCTCAAAAAAAACTATCATTTATTTAATAGACCATATCCAGGAAGTGGAAATATTATAACATTTGCACAATTTCTCTTTATTGCCATTGAAGGTTGCATTAATTATTATCAATGGGGTGGAGTACAACGACATGTTCCACTCAAGTATAGATTTCAATTAAAAAAAATAAATTTTCGTCAAATTTTTTTATAGAAATTATGGAATATTGGTATTAATGTTTTTCTTAGTTAGTGTTATTAATAATTATGCATTGAATTTCAATATACCAATGCCATTACATATGATATTTCGATCAGTAAAAATTTCTACAGACTTATTTTTTGATAAATGACGTTTTGTTTTTAGGGCTCATTAATTGCGAATCTTATTTTGGGCATGATTATATTGAAGAAAAGGTATGCATAGATAAGAATGAACTGATAAGAATATAGAATTCATTTTTTATTTTATTTCAAGATATAAATTTCGTGAAATTCTTTCAGTAGTTTTAATTACATTTGGAATTATTTTAGCAACATATGCTTCAAGTCAATCATTGAACAAACAAAAGTCAGCAAATAATATCAAAATTGATCAAACAGAACCAGATGTTTTCCGATGGACTATAGGTATTTGTATGTTAGTTTTTGCTCTACTTGTTTCGGCATTAATGGGTATTTATCAAGAAACAATTTATGCAAAATATGGTAAACATCCTCAAGAAGCACTATTCTATTCAGTAAACAAACCTTTTTTTCTTTATTTCGATTCTTATTTTTTTGTTTTTAGCATCTGTTACCTTTACCATTATTTGCACTGGTTGGAAAAGATATTTATCAGCATGCTCAATTATTTAATCAATCAAGTAAATCTTTAAATTCTGTTTTCCTATTGATATCATTCTTTATTTTAGCTTGGCTACCTATTTTTTCTAATGTTGGTGTTCCAATAATGTGGGCGTATTTATTTTGTAATGTCTTGACACAATATTTTTGTATTAGATCTGTATTTATATTGACAACAGAATGTCCATCATTAATTGTGACATTAGTAATAACATTACGAAAATTTGTTAGTCTACTTTTTTCAATAATTTATTTTCAAAATGAATTTACATTCAATCATTGGATTGGTACAGCATCAGTTTTTCTAGGAACATTTCTATTTAGTAATATTCACAATGAAATTATTCGTTTTTTTCGAAGACCAATAAACGACCATGTAGATTAGAAAAAAAATATTTATTTACTGACCCTTTTTTATTTGTAGATTTTGTATTAATTATTATTATTGAAAAGAATGACTCAAATCAATGCAATTGATACTGGTCATGAAGAAATTATTGTATGTAAATTTTTTTATTATTTATTTGGAAGAAAATACAGATTGTTGAAATTATTTTAGCATGATGCTCAATTAGATTATTATGGTATACGCTTAGCTACATGTTCATCAGATAAAAGTATAAAAATATTTGATGTTTCCAATAGCCAACAACGTTTGATAGCTGAATTAAAAGGGTAAGAATTATCTACTAAGTTAAATAATAATAAATTTATGATTTTTTAAAGGCATGAAGGTCCTGTTTGGCAGTTATCATGGTCACATCCAACATTTGGCAGTTTACTAGCATCTTGTTCATATGATAGAAAAGTATTAATATGGAAAGAGACAACACCAACTGGACTACCACCACAATCGAATCCAACTGGTGCTACGCAATATTCAGTCATATATGAACATGAACGACAT